CCCCCCCAAGATATATAAGCCTTGGTTAGCAATGAACACTCTCTCCGGTTCTCTCCTGCTCTGTGCCCCCAAGAGGAGCTGAGGTGAGCATGCTACTATGAAATGTGTCTGACTTCATTTTACTCTCTCCTGTTATCCTCATATCTTTATATCATATCATAGCTTTATGATAATCTTTCTATTTCTCAACTGCGCTTACTGAACCCGTGATTAGTTGTGGGGGGCTGGCCTTTCCCCCACAGTCCCCGTGCATGATGGCGCAGAACTCTGGCTCGGCGCTGGCCGCAGGATCCCCAGTGGCCTTGAGGGCATTGAGTGGCTGGCGGCTGTGCATTTGGAGTGCCTTACAACCTGGACGCCCGTCTCCCAGCTCTCTATCTGCGGATCCCTGTGAGGTCTTCATTGGCTCCCCTTTGGAAGCAGTCTCTGTTGGGTCTTTCTTTCTGCTCTTGGGCTGGAAGCTCTGCTGAAACCGGTCCACTATGGGGCATCCAGCTGGTCTTTGGAGTGTTGATGGCATAGCGTCCAGTACCACGGCCTCCTGCGAGCCACCACAGGTGAATACACTGAAAGGCAGGTCATGGTTGCCCTTAATTCTCCAGATCAAATCATTCACCAAGTTCCAGCCAGTCTTTGCAGTTGCCTCCCCCCTAGCTCCTCCACTCCTCCTGACGGCTGGCCTTTCTATTCTCTTGGTCCAAGTGTCAACCATACAGGTGTGGACAGCGTACCAGCATCTGCAATGGTCTCCGTGTCCAGTTTCTTCCTGTATGCTCACGGTCCTTCTTCCTGTGCCACTCTCCAACGCATCCCGTGTTTCCGCTTCTTCAGAAGTCAGGAGTGCTTTCCACAATTGGGTCTCAAATCGGGTTAGATCTAAAGCCACGATGACTGCGTTTTCAAAGACACTGGTCGTCAAAATGGGTGCATAAGCAAATGTGGTGAAGAAAGCTGATGGTGCCAGGCTATTAAAAGACATAGCATCTGGGGTCTTAAAGGCTTGAAGTTCATAAGCAGTCATCTAGCAGAGGAGCAACAAGCCCACATGGAAGAAGCACACCAGCCTGTGTGATCATGAGGTGTCGACGGGAGCAGGTGTCAGAAGACCCCCAAACAAACAAATATATTAATGCAAATGATAGGGGTTGGAGTGGAGACCCAAAGCCCATCTGTAGACAATTGGACATTCCCTCAGAGGGTCACAAGGAAGGAATGAGGCAGCCAGGGTGCAGCATAGCACCACAGGAACACACAACATTTCTTTAGTTCTTTAATACTTCCTCCCTCCCTCCGTCATGACCCCACATCCATCTTAAAAATCCAGCTAGACAGGAGCAGATAAGAGCTCTCAACAAATGGAATCCAGGACAGATAACCCCCCCAGGAACAGTACAGGGAACAGTGATACCATGAGGGTAGGAGGGAGGTGGGGGAAGGGGGAGAAACAGGGAACCGGTTACAATGATCAACATATAACCCCCGCCTCCCAGCCCAGAAGGATGAACAACAGAACCATGGGACAGTGTATGAAAATAATACTAATTTGGGGAGCTGATATCAGGGGCACAAGTGGTAAGAGAATGCTTTGAAAATGATGATGGCGGCATATGTGCAAATGTGCTTGACACACTGGAGGAATGTATGGATGATGAGATGTAAGAGCCAATAAAAGTATTTAATAAAAAAATAATACTAATTAATATTTTATGAGGGGTCTAGGGTGGGAGAGTGAGAGAAGGAGGGGAAAAAAAGACGAGCTAATATCAAGGGCTCAAGCAGAAACAAAATGTTTTGAAAAGGTTGGCAACATATGTACAAATGTGCTTGACACAATGGATGGATGGATGGACTGTGATAAGAGCCTTCATGAGCTCCCAATAAAATGAATTAAAAAAGAAAATGATAATAGCAACATATGTAGAACTGTATTTTGATACAATGGCTATATGGATTGTTATAAGAGCTGTAAGAACCCCCAATAAAATGATTTATTAAAACAGAATGAAGACATTGGTAGTCAATGTGATGGGGTGCAGAGATACACAACATATCACCATTGGACACTCCAAATCAAATATTTAGGAGACACAAGGTGCTGGGTGGTTGCGTGTTTCATACTTAGAACATTTTTGGCCACACTGATAAGCACAGTGACATTAGCTGGTTGCTCCTACTTTTGATGGGAAAGGAAACGAATGAGGGCTTCAAATTCTGAAGCACCACGTAAGGGATCTAAATGTTGCTATGTGTGGCCCCAAAGAAAATTTTATCTCCCATTGCCACAGAGATGGCTGACAGCCAGATCTGGATCCTCATCCTATGAATGGCTGCATGATGCCAATTGAATTTTCAACTTTGTATGGTCTGAGCCTAAACAGCATGCACTCACTCACTCTCTCACTGCCACTGAGTAGGCACTGGCTCACAGTGACCTTATCGGACAGGGTGGAATGGCCTCTGAGTTTCGAACTTCAGATCTTGTTGATCGCAGTCCAGTGCATAACCACTGTGCCACCGGCGCTTCCTAAAGTGCATTGGTTGGGAAGAGATGGGATTCTGCAAGATGGAATGGGACCACGTGGGCAGATGCTGATGGACCTGGGAGTATTGCGCCCCTACGTGTTATCTTTGCCACTAGAATGAGACCTTCTGCCCTCATCTGATACAAATCCAACTTTTGTCTACGGAACTCGAAAACCTTCCCCTGAGGCAGATGCCCCAAAATACACTGTGTACTCCTCTTAGGACCTACCCCACCACCTGTCTCTGCTTCTAGACTGGTAATGACACTCAACTCCCAGCAGGTGCTCCCAAGTGAGGCACAAGGTGTGTCCCTGGAATAGGTTGTTCTACATTCCCAAAGAACCACATCTGAGGTGTCTGCTGAGGGAAAAAGTGAATATAGAGTGGATAGAAGATGACGGTTATAAATACTGGCTATGGCCATGGGGCTAGGTGCACATATACCGCCACAAGGAATACGCATACTTATACATACATATGTATGTAGTGATATAGTTTATACGTATGTTTTATTCCTTCTCTTATTCAATTACTTAACATAAAACACAAGATGTAATAACTTCATCCTCTCTAAAAAAGGGTGTTTTCAGTTGTAGCCAGGATAGCTGTATCGTATTACATGGAAGTGTGATTGTACTTTTATCTAGGAATCACACGGTTTAAGATGTGGATGGGTGCCAAGTTGACAAGGAAGGGGTAGACTGTGATGACTGGTTTCGTGTCAACTGGCTAGGCTACAGTGCAGTTGTTTGGTAGAATGTCGATCTAAAGCAGATGACCTTCCATAGTGTGGGTGAGCCTCAAGCAATCCGTTTAAGGCCTTAAGAATAAAAGTGGACATTTTGCCAGAGCACATCCTCTTCTTGTTGCCTGACTGACAAATTCTGGGTGGCATGACTGCTAGTCTCTAGGCTGTGGCCTGACCTATGGATTTCGAATGGGCCTGTCCTCCACCATAGCATGAGCCGGCATCTTAAAGTGAATCACTCTCTGTGTGTAGATCTCCCTGGTTCTGTTTCTCTAGAGAGCCCTAGGTGACTTTAGATGTTATGTTCACTCAGTGCCCTCTGGGCTGCACAATACCCAATACGTAATTCATGCTGATTGAACGGAGTATGAGCATGGGAGGAGGGAAGGCAGCTGGATGGAAGGGTGAGTGGCTAAAGGAGGATATGGACGAAAGCATGAGTGACCAGAGGGATGCAGAGAGAAACAAGGGTGAGTGGAGAGTGAATGGATGGATACATCGTAGAATGGACGACTATCTGGGTGAATGTTTAAACAGATGAATCCAAGTATGAAAGGGTGAATGGGTAGATGGATGGATGGAGAAAAAGCGGGGGTAGGTATGTGTGCATGGACGGGAGGGTCCAAAACCACACAAAAACTCACCACCATCGAGTCGATTCCAGCTCATAACGACCCTACAGAATGGCCCCTGTGGATTTTTGAGACTGTAACGCTTTATGAAGTACAAAGCCTCATCTTTCTCCCGCACAGCAGCTGGTGGTCTTGAACTGCCGAACTTGCAGTCGGCAGCCCAGCAGGTAACTACTATGCTACCAGAGGGAAACATGGGTAGCGTGAATGGAGGGATGTCTACATAAAAGTCTTGACAGAATGGGTGCTTGAAATAATGGGTGGGTGTGAAGATGTGTGGCTGGATAGGTGGTGATGCAGAACAGATGGGAGCGTCTGCATGGACGTTTGAGTTGAGGACACCACGTGTGGAAAGATGAGTGTCTGGCTAGATGGATGGATGGGTAAGTGGCAGAAGAGATGACAGTTTGAGCAGATTAATGGGTATATGAAAGAGTGGATGACTCCAGGGATAGATGGGGAAATGGATGCACGGATGGATGGGTAAGTGGAAGAAGAGATGATTAAGTAGAATGGTCTTGAGAGATGAATGGGAGTGTGAATGGTTGTATGAAAGAGTGGATGGAGGGGAAAATGGGGAAATGGATGGACGTATGGGTGGGTAAGTGGAAGAGCGGATAAAGGAGTCCATGGATGTTTGGAGAGACGAACAAAGAGTGAATGGTGGTGTGAATGGATGGATGGATGGACCGATGACAGTTTGGGTGCATGAACGATAAAGGGAGTGGCCGTTAGGAAAGGCTGATGGGAAGACTGGGTGGATGAATGGATGGATGAAGAAAGGCTGGTGGGGAATGGATGGATGGAAACAAAGTAGGAGCCGAAGTTTCCTCAGGGGAACTTATTGGTCAGACTCTAGACGCCCTCTGCTCAAATCAAAGCATTTATTGCCAAAGCACAGCGATGGAAAGGATCGGCAGGGCCCCTGCTGAGGGGCCGGCCTCGCCCCCACCACAGGTCAGGAGTCTCCTCCGTCCATGCCACCAACAGCTTGCTGGACAATGCTGGACAGGACAGCCAGAAGGGGGAAAGTCACAGCTCCAGGGGGGTGGGGGGTGGTATCTAGGGGCTCCCTGATGCTAACTGGTGCTGCCAAGCTCCCGGGCCGGGGCAAGGCAGGTCTGCACATTGAAGGGTTCTCTGTAGAAGCTGGTCTGTGATGAAACAGCAGGCCGTGAGTCACATTTCTTCTTCTTTTATCAAACTGCGGCTTCTGGAAAGTTCTGGAAGAAAATAAAAATGCCCGGGGGTGTCTTAGTTGTTCAAGGAATGGTCTTGGGGCCCCTCCTGCATGCCAGACCCTTTGCAGACTCTGAGGACATGCAAGCACACGCCAAGAGGTTGGATGGAGCTTGGTCTAGTCTAGGATCAGAGGGGAGGGAAGAGTGGTCAGTGGAGAAGGGTTGGGGGAAGGTCACAGTGGTCAGTGCATGGTGGATGGGGATAGGTGGCGTATGATAGCGGATGCCGTGTGTGTGTGTGTGTGTGTGTGTGTGTGTGTGTGTGACGGGACTGGTACAAAGTGAAGGAGGAAGGGGAGAGGTGTAGGGTGGCTGTTGCAGAGTGGATGAGAGTTGGGTGGAGGGGGCCTGGGTTGTCACGGCTGGTGCAGAGCAGGGCAAGGGGGAGGCCAGCTCATCCCAGGGCCAAGCCTGCTCTCCCACCAAAGGCTCGATTCTTCAGGTTACACAAAGACTACGGGGCTCCTCCGCACGGCGTCCTCTCAGTAACTTGACGGTGACCTTTGCACCCTAATTAACTGGCCACTGCGAAAGTGGCCTCTGGAGTTGAGTGTGCCTGAGGCTCTAAGGATCCCAGGAGGGCCTGTTATATCTTGAGAGCTTAGATTCCCTGTGCTCAGTGGACAGGAATGCAGTGGGAGGCAGGTGTCACGGCACCCCCCTAAAAAGGATACATGGACATCCTAATAGCACCTGTGAACAGGACCTTGTTTGCACATAGGGGTTTCTTTTTGTTAGGATGAAGTCAAATTGGAGCAGGGTGGGTCCTAAACCTCATCCCTTCTTCATCATGTCTTACACAGAGCAGTATAGACGTGGTTTTCAACCTTCCTTATGCCAGGACCCTTTTAAGACAGTTCTTCATGCTGTGGTGACCCCAACCATAAAATTATCTTCGTTGCTACTTTATCACTGTAAGTTTATGACTGTTATGAATCGTCATGTAAATATCTGCTATGCAGGATGTAATTTCATTGTTACAAACTGAACATAAAACATCGTGATTCATCATAAAAATTATGTAATTATATATTGTGAAATATTTATTTCTAATGACAAATCAATGACATGTGTCTTGAAGCATGGTGTGGCATGGGTCATAGTCTTCACGCTGGGGGACTTGTAGGTGGGCGTATCTGCATACGGGCGGACCCGTAGATAGAGGAGCGGTGTCTCAGTTCCTAAGACCATCGGAAATATGTTTTCCGATGGTCTTAGGCGACCCCAGTGAAAGGGTGGTTCAACCCCCAAAAGGGTCTCGACCCACAGGTTGAGAACCACTGGTGTAGACAGAGATAGGGGAAGATAACATGTGAGGATTCTCTCTCTGTCTCATTGAAGGGCTCCTTCGCCTGAATGTCTCCTATTTGGGCTTCATAAAGAGGTCTCGAACATGAGGTAGCACTGTGTTTTTGGCTTATGAGGATGGAAACTCTAGAGATGGCTACTGGCGATGGCTGCACAGGGAGACTGATAAAGCGGCCTCGCGGAATTGTCCGTGTAAAAAATGTCGAAGGCGGTGGAATCTGTCTTTTGACACCCTGCCCCCAAACCAATCAGTGAAGCAGGGCTGTGGGGGTGCCTGAGGATGGAGGGGACGTGGGGAGAGAGGGAGCGGGGTTCATACTCACCGGTCACTTCCCAGCTGGACACCCCCTAGGACACCATGTGTAGGTCCACAGGGTCATAGGCCGACACCCGCAGGTCCTGCAGCAGAGCTTCCAGACTATTCCTCAGGACGGCGTAGGGTGGCTTCTCGTCATACTGGAGGGCCATCACTACTTTCAGATACTCCCGGAGGGTCTCTGTGGTCAAGACACCCCCCCCCACACACACACACATGCCACCATGGGAGAGAGCTGAGCGGAGACCCTGGCCCAGGGACCAAGATCTTGGCAGAACTCTTCAAGCACTGACACAGAAAATCTCTAGGACCTAATCAATTTCTTAACATGAAGAACAGGCAAGTTGGAACTCAAGACAGACAGTACCGGCAACGTTAAAAAAGATGCTACGAGGGGCTCGGAATTATTTGTAGAATGATTCCGACACCTTTTAATCCATCTAACCCCATAAACTTTCCGAAGCCTCCCCTTCACAGGGTGTCCGAGGAAGGAAGTGGCTCTGGGGCAGCAGGAGGAAACAGAATGTGCAGCTAGCTGCCTCTCTGCCGTGAGACCAGGACTGGATGGTGGCCGACTACCGTGAACGAAGGACTTGATCCAAGATTTCTGCAGAATCATCTTGATCAAGCACTTCAGATTCTCACGGGATCCAGAGTTTCTGGGGCCATGGAGGCTGGATGAATCCCCGAAACGACAGCCCTAATATGATCTATATGTGGTTTCGGTGGAGTTCTTTTATTGAGGATGCTCAGGTCCCCTCCCCCACCCCAATGGACACTTGTGACGGATGCGGTTTGAAAAAACGCCTGCACTCGCCTGGTTCTGTCACAGTCCCACCTGTTCCCTCAGCCCTTCGGGACATACCTGAAGGCCTGCTCCACCTGGTGCACTTCTCCACGAGGGATCCGGGGTTGCCTAGGAATCTGGGAGCACAGGGGCAAGTGGGAAGGGCCTTTTAGGGCAGTCTTCTTCAGCAGAATGTCCATGCGTGTGCACACACGCACATAGACACGGACGCACGCACAGTTGCTAGCTGCCGCCTAGCCTGTGGGAACTCGTGGCCACCCACCCCATAGCCAAGGAAGGAAACCGTGCTGTCCTGTGTCACCTCCAGGATCAGCTAGGGATCGGCTGGCCATAGTCCGTGATTCTCACGGGCTGATTTTTAAGGAGTAGATTGCCAGACCTTTCTTCCTCGTCTAGCCACATCTGGAGGCTCTGCTGAAGCCTGTTTGGCATCCTGGCAACTCACAAGTCTCCACTGATACATGGGTGTTGGGTGCACACCAGGTGCACTGTCCAGGAATCGAACTGCGGTCTCCCACACAGGTGGGGAGAGCTCGAGCATGGAGCCACCACTGCCTTATGCAGACAGTGAACCTGTGAAAGCCGGGACCTGCTGTCTGGGAGGCAGACATCCATCACAAACTCAAATGTTTCCCCTAATAGAGGCAAGGCTTTGAGTTCTGGCTCTCTCATTTTTCAGCTCTCTCGCACTCTCTCTCTCTCTCTCTCACATACACACACAGTGGAGGTGAACCTTAGAAAGTGGCCTTTCTTGGCCTGGCCAACATTCATAATTATGGGGTTTATTATGGCAGTGAGAGGCTACAAGTCAGGATAATGAACGACCCAGGGTACAGTTCCTAGGTTAGGGCAGTCTGATCTCAGCCATGCCTGCTGGCAAACCTCTGCCTGATGCTCATGCTCTTGGCCCCTCTTGTGTGGCCACTGCAGTGCGTTACTGAATGCAGCAGGGAAGCAGCAGGTGCTCTGGGAGGGATGGTTGGTGTCAAGATTGGTGGCAAAGCTGGAAAGGAGGTATGTCTGATCTCTGCTTGGCAGGATCTGATTAGAGCTGATGTTGGTACTCCTGCCCCCTCAGGAAGGTGGAAGAGGTCAGACTCCACTGCACCACACCATTTTGACACCTATAGACACCTACACACACACACACACACACACACAGAGGGGGCTTCAAAAACTTTACAGAAAAATGGAACAAAAGATATGAAAAATTTCCGCCAGTTCTCTTATATAGACCGGACACAGACTTCTATCTATAGATTTAAACACAGACATAGAAGGCATCAGGAGGTTTCGAAATGCTGGAGACATTTCATGGTCTTTTAATCCCATTTTTAAAAAGAGACTGGATTTTTCTCAGGAACTTTTGGAAGCTCCCTGGCGCGCGCGAACGCACGAGTGTACAAGCACATGCACACCCTGAGGCCTTGCACACAGGTGGCCTTGAGGAATCAATCTCCCTTCTTCCATTCAATCATTCCACCATGAACCCAAATGGCTAGAGGCGGACTATCTTTGTGGGGCCCGTGGGAGAAAGTTGTGCCGGCCAGTAGCACATCCCCAGGAGGCAATTCAGGGGGTGAGGGGTGCAGGGGCGGGTGGACCATGTTTGCGTGGCAACGCTGGTGTGCAACTGCCCCGCAGATGGGCACAGCAGGTCTGGGAGAAGGATGGCAACACATCCCCAGCACACTCCCAGCACCCCGCGCCTGGGGCTAGTGGTTCCAACTTGCTGGCCCCAGCCTCCTCCGGAGAAAGATAAGGCTGCTGGCTGCCAAGCAGATTCACAGCCTCAGGAACCCTAGGGGGGGTGTGTGGCAAGGCATAGTTCTCCATCCCCCGGGGCAGAGTTTCGGCGCCACCATCGCCTGGACTCACTTCTCCTTCAGCATCATGATGCTATCGGTGTTGGGGAGGCAGTTAGTCCACGGCAAGTACCCATAGAGCCACTTGAGCAGGCAGTAGCCCAGGGTCTGCAGGTCACTTCGGCGGGAAGGTCCTGTGGGGTTGGGTGGGGGGCGAGGCAGTGAGGGGGATGCTGCTCAGGCCGAGGCTGGGCTGGCAGCCAGCATCCTTCCACCTCCGTGCTTCCTACACTCTCACCCCCAACCAGCCAAACGCTCGTGCTGCCTCCACATCCTTCTCCATTCGCTCTGACGGCGGGGATGGTTAAGTGCTTGCCGGTTAAGTGGGGCAGTTCAAACCCACCAGCCGCTCTGTGTGGCAGAGAAACCCGCCGGTTGGCTCAAAGGCAAACAAACTAAACCAGCCTCCGTGGCTCCAGAAAGTCTGGACTCCTGGGGCATTTATGAGTTCTGTTCTGCAGGCTTCCCCCTTTTGATTAGGAGGCCTCTAAAGAGATCAGGTGGCCACTGGCCAATCTCAATGGCCCGACCCTGAGGGATGATAACGGATTCTGGACAGGGGTGCGGTGTGGAGGGAGGAAGAGACTCAGGTGTACTCTCAAGTCATGGAAGATTAAAGGCTGTTCTCGCAGCCCAGTATGTGCCGTATCGTGCAGAGCGGACCTTTCCTCTCCCGCTTCTCCGTGAGTCCGCTCATCCCGTCCCCTTCCCTTCCTGCACACATAGGCCTTTGCTGGGCCGCGCACACCTGGTGCTTCTCGTTGCTGTGACAGGAACTCCCCACACTCTCTCATCCTCCCCCAGGGCAGAGCTGAGAACTCTGGGCACCCTCAGAACTGACCCCTCAGATCCAAATCCAGAGTGAGCAGCCTCTGTAACAGCCCCTCCTGGGTGAGTGCTGGCAGCTCCCATCCTTCAAGTCTACCCTGACCCTGCATGCGGCCCCTACCCCAGCCCTGTCCCTCTGCGCACAATGATGCGCTGTCCGTGGTGCTGAGGGCCCGGGCCTTCCAAATCAACCCACTGCCGTCCAGTCAGTTTTGACTCACGGCAACCCTGCAGCACAGAGCAGAACTGCTCCCGCGGGGCGTCCGAGGCTGCCATCTCTACGGAAGCACACTGCCTCATCTTCCTTCCATGTGGCGGCTGGTGGGTTCACACGGCTTATCTTTCAGTGCGTGGCGGAGCGCTTAACCATCTGCGCCACCGAAAAACCCCATACAAACTCACTGCCCTCGAGTCAGTTCTGACTCACGGCGACCCCAGAGGCAGGGTAGAGCTGCCTCTGTGGGTTTCCGAGACAGACTCTTTACGGAGAGAGAAGCCTCGCTTTTCTCTTGTGGGGCGCTGGGCTGGTGGTTTCAAACCGCTGCCCTTGTGGCTAGCAGCCCAACCAGTAATCCCTCCGCCACTAGGGTCTCTCCAACAAGACGGGTGGACATCCTCACCCCAAGATCTGTGAACCCCGTGAGCTCCGTTGGAGCAGGCTCTCCCAAGACGTAAGCAGTTCGTGGGAGGACCAGCAGGGGTGGGGCTCCTAACCCAAGGCGATGGTGTCCTCAGAGCAGAGGAGACACACAGGGAGGCGGACGCGGGCGACTCGGGCACGTGAAGATGGAGGCACCAAGCCGGGAGCGGCAAGGGAGGATGCTCCCTCTCCCCTGGACGCCCGGCCTTCTCCGACCGGAGACTGACTTCCTGCTCCAAGGACAAACCTGTCCTGTCTGCCTGTTGGGGGACAGCAGCCCTAGGGCACCCACGAGCTGCTAACCAACCCGCAAGGTAAGCAGTTCGAACCCGCCAGCGGCTTCTCGGGAGAAAGGTGGCTTTCTGCTTCCACAGAGGAGCAGTTCTACTCTGTCCCACAGGCTCTCTCTGGCACTGGTTCTGGAGCCGGCTCTAAAGAGCGACAGTTTTGGAAACCGTCCCGTCCTGCGGGGTTGGGTTGACATGCGCCAGCCCCGACTAGATGCCAGTGGGATCGGTGGGTGAAGAGCACGATGCCCGCACCCCGACTCCATGTGGGACCCGAGCCCACCGGTGGCTCTTACCACATCCTCTGTGCAGATCCATGCTGATGAACTCCAGGTCCCCGTCATGGGGACTCCTGCTGCCTTCGACATAGGCCACGTGCCGGCCCTCTGGGCAGTAGCGGAAGGTGAAGCCGTAGCCCACCAGGGTCACCTGTGCACGAGGGGCGTGCTGGGAGTCAGGGGCTGGCAAGCTCAGGCCAGGCTTCTGCTGTGGCTGTGCTTCCCCATGAGCCACCGGGGACAGATGCCGTCTGTCCACAGGGCAAACCCGTGGCAGGTTCAGAGCAAGGAGGTGGACCAGCACAGGAAGCGGGGAGGTGACAGTCCCCTGCCCCCTGCTGCGCTCAGGCTGGGGCCGTGAGCTCCCGTTGGTCGATCCAGTGGGAGTCGGGCTCACGGGGAGGGTGTCCAGGCAGCCACCTCTCAGGAGCTCCTCCAGCCCTGCCTGTTAGTGGCTGCATGACCTCGGGTAAGCCAGGGAACAGCTCTGCGCCCCAACTTCCCCGCCTGTACAGTGAGGAGCAGCCCTGGTGGTGCGGCTGGCTAAGCGGCGGGCTGCTAAGGTTCTGAGTTCAAGCTCCCCAGGCGCTCTGGGGAGGGGGGTTGGGTGGTGTGCTTCTGTGAAGACCACAGTCTTGGACCCCCTTCGGGGCAGTTCCAATCAGATGCCTGGCATCACCAGGAGTCAGAAGCTCCATGGCCGAGGCTTGGGGGCTGGCAGGGACAGCAGGCGAGACCCTGGCGGTACAGCAGTGAAGCCCTTGACTGCTGACCAGTCTCGGGTGGCCGGAACCCACCAGCTGCTCCGAGGGAGAAGGACGAGGCTGCCTGCTCCCGTAGAGGGACAGCCTCGGAAACCCCTTAGGGGCTGTCCTGCCCTGCTCTACGAGGTCGCTACTAGCCGGTGTCACCTCGGGGGACAGTGGGCTCCGTTAGGTTTAGACCAGTGGTTCTCAACCTGCCTAATGCCGTGACCCTTTAATATAGCTCCTCTTGTTGTGGTGACCACCCCCAGCCAAGGAATTATCTTTGTTGCTATTTCGTCACTGTCATTTTGCTACTGCGATGGATCGGGCGACCCCTGTGAAAGGGTGGTTCGACCCCCAAAGGGGTCGTGGCCAAGGTGGAGAATCCGTTTAGACGATCACCATGTACACGGAGTGCCTGTCCATCTATGTGTGGTCTTTGTTCTATGAACAGCGGTTCCTATTCGTTGTCATCCGAAATTGCCTATCTTTTAATCATTTGAAGGCGCTCTCTACATAGAACGGAGACCCGCTCTGTCTGCGACAGACACGGTGACAGATGCTGGCACCGTCTGGGCTGGGAGGGCGTCTGCCCGCGGGTGGTGGTGGTGGGGCTCTTACTTGACTCGTGTCTTCTGGATTCACGAAGATATTGTCCGCGGTCACATTCCCGTGCACGTACTCATTTTCATGGAGGTACTGCAGCGCATCCAGCTGGGCCAAGGACGGAGAAGGAACTTCTGCGAAAGGCTCAGTCGCACAGCATTGTAGGGGTGCCCCCAGCTAGCGCCACCCTCCATGTGCCCTGCCCCCGGCCACACCCCCGGGCGCGAGGAGATGGTCTCAGAGCCTTCCCTGGTGGAGCCTGAAGTCCCCTGCTGTGGCACTGTCACTATGAACTGCCTTTCTTCCCACCGGCCCCGAGGGCTGTGCAGTAAACACCCCCCCCACGCCCCCCCCAGGAGGAAGCACGCACCCAGTGCCTGGGCTGGGCAGCTCTGTACCTACCAGGCGACAGGCCAGCTGGAACACCGACCTCTCGGGAATGATGCGCTTCGGGTGGCAGTCCAGAACTGACTGGAGGCTCCTTCCCAGCTTGGGGAACACCATGAACCTGGAGAACACAGGCCCGCAGTTATTGAAAAGTGCGATGGACTGTGCCAGAAAACCAACGCAGTCTGTCTGGGGAAGAAGTACGGCCAGGCTGCTTCTTAGAAGCGAGGGTGGCGAGACTTGGTCTCCCAGCGTCTGGGCTGCTCGTCAGGTACACCAGTCTCTGGAGAAGACTGGCATGCGTGGTCAAACGGAGGGGCAGTAAGAGGGGAGGCACAGTGGCGGTGATTCTAAGGATGGTCCAGGGCTGGGCCGTGGTTTGTTGTACACGGGCGGCGTTAGGAGTTGGAATTCATGCAAGGGTGCTTGGCAGCAAGATCACTGTGAGAAGGGGACATTTGTCGGGTACAGCCACCCACGCACACGGGACAGCAGCAGTCAAGAGGGCAGCCGACCTGGCTCACTGTCAGGAGGAAGGAGGGAAGGCACCGAATGACACCCCCTTACCCACCACCCCAAGTCCTTCAAGATCCCAGGCCGTGCAGGGCTCCGGATGCCGAGGGGCACTCCGACGAAGGCAGAAGCGGGTGCAGCTTACCTGTACTTGTCCCCATGGACGCCGAACCCGAAGCAGGTGGGGATGGCCAGGAGCGGCGTACAGTAGAGCTTCTTCCACTTGTTGACTGTGGAGGGTGGGGGCTTAGGACTCACCTGCTCCAATTCACAGCAACCAGAACCACCCCCCGCCCCCCCAAGTCTCCTGGGGGGGGCACTTTGTGGGTGGGTGGCAGTGAGAAGGGGGAGGGGAGAGAATGGATGCTAACTCATCTCGACCCTAGATAGGGTTTCTGAGACTCAACGTCATGGGAGCAGACAGCTCCACTTTCTCCTGAGCAGAGGCTGGTGGGCTGGAACTGCTGGACCCTGAGATTAGCAGGCCGACACTTACCGGACAGCGCCTCCGTGGCAAATTCACATCTGTAAGCCAGTCGGATCACTAACTGTCCAACCAGCCCTGTGGTCATTAGGGTTTGCCCCTCCCACCTTCCGGCTCAGTGGGGTGGTACCAAGCCAGGGGGAGGGGAGCCTGCCAAGAGCAACCACTGGCTGTCCAGGGAAAAGGTGCCCTGGTTGGTAGAGTTTGCCAATGACTGTGGTATAAATACCCTTACAGGGGTGTAAATAAAATCTCCTCACCATGCCCCAAACAAACAAAACGCAACCAAGCAAGCAAAATGCAAAGGATACCTTGCCATCCTGCGCCGAGTCAGCGGGCGTCAGACAGAATCTGCTCTGTGGCAGGCCACAGCAGCAGCCAAAAACCACGTCGACGCCACACACGCCAATCAATCCACAGGAACAGAACATCTACTACAGCCCAACTGTGCCTAATTAAGATGTGTGGTCGTATGACCTTGGCTTTTATCACGTAATCGGTTTGACCGCAAGTGGACATAATTTTGGGGGGGTGGGCTTTTAACTTTTTTAATTTATAAAGGGACCTAGAAAATTCTGGAGAAAATTCTAGTACCTGTTTTGCGCTCTCTGTCTGGACAAGTCAGTGTTTCAGTTTTACAGCACGCTGCTCCTTCTTCCTAAACGGCAGTCACTGCATTTTTTGGTGCTGCTCGGCACGTTAGGATTTGTGTGTGTGTGTGTGTGTGTGTGTGTGTGTGTGTGTGTTTTCTCATGTCACAGCTTAACCGTGAATGACAACCCACTTTCATTCCTTTCGCCAGAAGGGTTAATTTCAGGAGAGCGCATCCAAGTAAAAGCCAGACAGGCGACAGAATGAGCATTTAATAACCCGGTTTCAAGTGCACCCACTTTAAGCACGTGGGCATGAGACCGCTTCATAGTCACAGGTGTCTGGATGCTTCTTTGGCCTTGGACCTTAGGCCACCCACGTTGAGCGTGTCCATCGGGTAGCCTCTGAGACTTCCACATCAAAGCATTCTTCCCTGGCGCGTACACAGCCGTCTGCACGCGACGCGTTTCGCACAGAGCATCATCTGGTTGAAAGTGTCCTCTTTGGATGTTCCCTCCCCCTTCCGGCCCTGGGTGCTGTCGGCTTCCAAGGCCAGCACCGGGGGGGCATCCATGCGTCACTCCTCTGCGCTCTGGACCGGTAGGCGCTCTGGTGGTAGGACCGACTCCAGTCTCTGCCAGCGTTGTGGGGGCCACAGGATGTGGGTGGCGTGGGCATGGAGGAGCCCCAGGGAGACTGGCCCGAAAGAGTTACTGTCAAAACTGTGCCCGTGGTGATCGCCTTCGACCCACATGTGACCCGGGGGGATCTGGACGTAGCGGCGTCTGTGACCCATGGTTCTGACGACGTCCCCTTCAAGGGCAATCACTCGCTTGATGATCTTCTGTCCTGGGTTTCTTGGGGACACCAGTGACACCACGTCACCACGCTGCACTTGCAGGTTCCTCACTTTCCAGTGGTTCAGCAGCACCAC